GCCAAAATTCATGATTTTATGAGCTATATAACTTATAATTTTTGTTCGCCTTTAGTAGTTTGACCTATGAGTAAATAATATTTTTAGGCTAAAATTCACAATTTCATAAGCTATAACTAATAATTTTGGGCCATGTTTGGTGGCTTCGACCCATTGGTAAATAATTTCCCTAAGGCTAAATTTTACAACTTTATGAGCTATAACCCATAATTTTGGCCGTTTTTATGGTTTCAACCCGTTGGCAAATAATTTCTTGAAGGATAAAATTCATGATTTCATGAGTTATAACACATGACTTTTGGCCATTTTTAGTGGTTTCAACCCATTGACAAATAATTTCACAAATGCAAAAATTTATAATTTTATGAGTTATAACTCATAACTTTTTGTCACGTTTAGTTGTTTAAACCCGTAGACAAATATTTCTTGAAAGCCCAAAAATTATTATTTTTCCTTCTAGGGTTTGTTTGTGGACTCTCTTGAAGGAAGAAGATAACTCCAGGTAAGACAATAGTCACTCTTGAATTTACTGTCGCACCCTATGAGAGGATGGAACTCCTTGAGGGAGTAGTAGTAGCTCTTGGGTGATGAAAATCCTAATGAGCAAACCTCGACGGAAAGGTAGTTGGCCGATGAGAGAACTCCAATAAAGAGAGAGCATGTCGTCTAAGGAACCAAAGAGAGCCTAAGTAGCTCTCTAGAGGAGGAGAAACCCTACTAGAGAAGAGGAGAGCTTAAACCTATACAAGAAGGCTTAGATAGGAGATAGGAGACTTTTGGTAGAAGTTTGTAATGTTGAATCCAACTCTAAGCCCTTTGGATGTGTGTTAAGGGCCTCCATCAAGAAAGATGCCACTCTTTATGAGTTTTTGTGGGTTTACACGCTACTAGAATAATGCAAGTTACTATACTAATTTTTCAGTGTACGAGCACAAAATGGATAACAACACGGCATTCTTTCTCAAAAACTCTTGCAGATTTTGTTATTTGTGCGGGGCTGGTAGTATTGTGTAAATGCTTTCATTGTTCGCTTTTGTAGCCCGACACAAACTTTATGGAGGGACTTTATTTTGTAGGGCTTTAATACTTCTGCTTTGCCACAGTCTCGTAGTTCAACTGTCACTTTGCTGAAATGTTTACACACTGTTAACCTTACGTGATCTTAGCACCGCTAAATCCTAGTCTCGTGTGACCTTAGGAATCGTGTGGTCTTTGACCACACGTAAACATGCCTTAGTCTATTTTTGAGGGAATTTTAATCTTATTCACGCTCCATTTACGTCCAAGGCCTCGTGCCTTTGCACCCTTGGCTCCTTTTTGGTCTATTTGTCATGTTGAACCCTTTTGGTCACTTTAGAATGACCATTATACCCTCGCGAGTCTCCTCATGGCGTCATAGGGTGCTTGGTTGAGCGTTCAACATTTTTATCCGTCTACAGAAACCAATGGATCAAATAACTAAAAATAGCCAAAATTTATATGTTACTACTAATGAAATTGTGAATGTGGTCTCCACAAAATTATTTCCCAATGGGTTCAAACACCTAAAATGGCCAAAACTCATGGTATATATCTCATCAAACTTTGGACTTTAGCCTCCGCAAAATTATTTGCTAATAGATCAAAACGACTAAAAATGGCCAAAACTCGTTAGTTATAGCTTATGAAATAGTGAATTTTAACCTCCTTGAAATTATTTGCTAACAGGTTTAAGTAACTAAAAATAGCAAAAAAAACATGAATTATAGCTCATTAAAATATGAAATTAGCCTCCGTGAAATTATTTGCTAATAGGTCGAAATAACTAAAGCTTAAAAACAACCTGGCTACTAGCTAATAAAATCATGAATTTTGGCTTCCATAAAATTATTTGCAAAATGATTAAACGAAAAAGGCCAATCATCATGGATTATAACTCATTAAATTGTGAAATTTTCCTTCACAAATTATTTAGCAATGGTTCGGACTGACTTAAAATGGTAAATAATCATGAGTTACAGCTCATGAATTTTGGCCTCAGTGAAATAATTTGTCAATGGGTTAAAAGAAATAAAAATAGCCAAAAATTATGGCTTCTAACACATGAAATCGTGAATTTTGGCCTCTACAAAATTATTTACTAATGGGTCAAAATGAATAGAAATAGCTAAAAATCATGAGGTATAACTCACGAAATTATGAGTTTTGATACTAAAATATATTTAACAATAGGTCCAAATGATTAAAAATGTCAATAGTCTTGATTTATAACTCGCTAAATCATAAATTTTACCCTCCGCAAATTTTTTTGCCAAGGGGTCGAAATGACTAAAACTAACCAAAAATCATTGGTTATAGCTCAAGAACTTGTGAATTTTAGCCACCAAAAATTTATTTGATAATGGGTCGAAATGACTAAAATTTACCAAAAATCATGGGTTATAGTAATGGAATCGTGAATTTTGGTTTCTGTGAAATTATTTTCTAATAGGTCAAAAATGAATAGAAACGGCCAAACATTGTGGGTTATAGCTTGCTAAATCTTGAATTTTGACTACTGCTACAATATCTAACAACAAGTCGAAACGATTAAAATTGGCCAAAAATCTTGAGTAATAGCTCATGGGGTATTTAACTTTGGACTTCAAGAACTTATTTGCCAATGGGTCAAAATGGCTAAAAATGACCAAAAATCATGCGTTATAGCTCATAAAATTGTGAATTTTAGACTACATACAATTAATTGCCAATGGGTCAAAACTACCAAATAAATGGCCAAAAACCATGGGTATAGTTAATGAAATCTTTTCTTTTGATCTCCGAAAATTTATTTGACAATGGGTCAAAATAACTAAAACTGCCAAAAATTATGGATTCTATCTCATGAATCTTGAATTTTGGCCTCCATGAAAACAAATTTCGACAGGTCTAAATGACTACAATAATAGCCAAAAATCGCGGGTTAGAGCTCATAAAATCGTGAATCTATGCCTCCACGAAATTATTTGCCAATGAGATAAAATGACTAAAAATAGCCAAAATCATGGGTTAGCTCATGAAATCTTAAATGTTGGCCTAGGCAAAACTAATCGGTCGAATAACTAAATATGGTCATAAATCACGGGTTATTGCTTATGAAATTGTGAATTTTGACCTCCAGGAATTTTTTTCCCAACGGATTGAAACAACTAAAAAAACCAAAAAAAGTCATAGAGTATTGTTCTCCAATTATGAATTTCAGCCTCTAAAAAATTATTTGTCAATGGGTCGAATGACTAAAAATGGCCAAAACTTATCAGTTATAATTCATGAAATTATAAATTTTGACCTCCTCAAAACTATTTGCCAATACGTCCGAACAACTAAAATTAGCCAAAATTCATGGGTTAATAGATCAATAAATCATGAAATTAGCCTCCACAAAATTATTTGTCAACGAGTTGAAACAACTGAAAATGGCCAAAATTTGTGGGTGATAGCTCATGAAATTGTGAATTTTGGCTTCTATGATATTATTTGCCAATAAGTTGAAACCATAGCAAAAGTTAAATAATCATGGATTGTAGCTCATGAAATCGTGAATTTTGCTCATGCAAAATTATTTACCAATGGTTCTAAATGACTAAAAATGACAAACAATCATGGGTTATATAGCTCATGAAATCGTGAAATTGGTTCTCTAAGAAATTATTTGCCAACATGTTGAAATGACTAAAAATAACCAAAAATCATGGCTTCTAGCCAACAAAATCGCGGATTTTAACCTTCATAAAATTATTTGCTAGTGGTTTAAATGACTAGAAATAGCCAAATATAATAGGTTATAGCGAACGAAATAGTGGGTTTTGGCTACTGCAAAAAATATTTGGCAATGGGTCAAAACAACTAAAAACGTTCATCAATCGTGAGTAACAGCTTGTGAAATCTTTAATTTTAGATCTCGTGAACACATTTGCCAAAGGCTCAAAATGACTAAAATAGTCCAAAAATCATGGCTTGCTTATGAAGATTATGAATTTTGGATTCCTTAAAAAATTTTATCATTTGGTTAAAATGACTATAAATTATCAAAAATCATGTGTTATAGCTCATGAAATCTTTAATTTTTTCCTCTAAGAAAATATTTATCATCCGGTGGAAATGACTAAAAAATGGTTGAAATTATTGAGCTGGAACTCATGAAATCATAAATTTTGACATCTGCAAAATTATTTATCTATGGGTCAAAAAACTAAAAATGTCTAAAAATTAAGGATTATAACTAGTGAAATATTTAATTTTAGCCTCCAAGAAATTATTTGACAACAGGTTGAAATAACTAAGAATGGCCAATATTCATGGGCTATATATATAGCACATGAAATCTTGGATTTTGTCATCTGTGAAATTATTTTTCAATGGGTAGCTAAAAAATAGGCAAAATTATGAAAACATAAATGTCCGCCTCTATGAATTTATTTGTCAATTGGTCAAAGTGGCTAAAATTGGCCAAATATTACTGGGAGGAAATTGGACTTCGTTACCGGGAGGAAATTGGACTTTGTTCGTGTCAAGCAACGAGTGAGGTAAAACAAAAACAAAATTAAGGAAAGGCCCCCCAGCACTCGGTTCAATTAATCTCTGGCACGTAATTTCGTAAGTGGGCCCCCACAATTACCTATCCTGTTGCCGTTGCTCTGCGCGGCGGATCAAGGCATGTAATTCATGGAATCATAGTGACAGGCCGTGAGAACAAAAAGATGTCTGAGGGAGAAAGAAAAAGGTGTTACTTACTTTTGAGTTTTTTATGGCTTTCTTTCGGTTCCTTTTATTGTGTTGTTCGGGTAATCTTGTGTAGCTCTGCTGGTGGGTTTTCGTTTGTTTCCTTCTGTTTAGCCCCGTGTTGTGGAAGAACTCTTAAGCTTACTGCTAAACTGAAGTGCGATCTCGATATCGTTGTTAGCCTGGTCCTGCCCCCTTTTCCTTCTTTCAATAATAATAATAATAATAATGATCCCAAATCTCAGGCTCACATCAATTGGAAAAATAAGAGAAATTCTTGATGCACTCCTCTTTATTAAAGCAAAGTCACTTTGAATAATCTACAAGTTTGCCAAGGATATGTTTTGGGTCATCTGATTAATAACTGATATCATGTTTTACATCATTTTTTTCACGTACAGTGGGTATATATTATTAGGGAATCCTTTAGGATCAGCATCATTGATATTTTCCAATGAGGGGCAAAAGAAAACTAACTCATTTTTGTTCAGTCGATACTGCACATCAAAACCACCGGCTGTTTGTTGCCGTCTTCTGCTTTGGTTTTTCTTTCCCCCTTGTCCCCTTTTTTCTTCTCTCCTGAGCTTATCACCTTTGATAGCTTTTCAACTCAAGTATTTACTGAACAGCGCTTTTGAAATGGCAAGAGCATCACCTTCAGCTTTCACTTTGTATAGCTCACTACCTGCTTGCCACTTTTTTGAATAGGTTATCCATTCTTCTCTCCAACTCTCCAATGGGAAATTTATGTTGCCTTTCAAACTTACTGACAAATACTTGAAATATGCTGAAGCTCTTGGTAGGTAGTATTCCTTCAAAAGCCCGCTCCAATATTTGTTGGCTGATCATTAGATGCAGACAAACAAAAGGAACAACAAATCAGTAATTACAGGTAGTCTACTTGCTAGGCGGCCAAAAAATGTTGGCGCATTACCGTAGTCGTGTAGTTTACTTTGGTTGGTCCTCGTGGTATCATACCACATGGTCACTTGTGTTCTAGCATTCCATTCATACTGGAGAACATAAACCATAAGTATATGTAGAAAAAAATTTCAAACTAGTAGAGGAGATTTTGTGTAGAAGTATTGATCGTCACCTGTTTTTGCTCTTCCTGGCTTGCTGCTAGTTTCTTCGCACTTTCCAACCACGTTCCAAGCAGAAAATTGTCGTCAGAAGCCAAAAGTGTGTCAATATCTTCAATTAGTTTGAGGAACTTTTGGCTTTGAAGAATCAATCCATTGGCATCATTTGCATCATATGCGGACATCACATCATAATAAACTTGGTTTGCTAATTTTGCAAGCACTTGCCTCATGAGGTCTACCAGGTCATACCTGAGACGAAAAAGTACCCACAGTTAGCACTCACTCGCACAACTCAAGCTCTATTCTCAACAAAGTGATGGTTGATCAAAAACATGTAAGGATCAAATATTTGCCATGTCTTACAACTGTTTGTCAGCCTGATGTGAACCCTCAACAGCAAAGACTACGGCACAAATCAGCCTATCTTGATCATTCAGGCTAGGATAAATCCTCAATTTGCATCATATTGGAACTAAGAAGAGTCTAGATGAATAGTAAGATTATACATTTTGAATTAACAGACTAGGGATCTTCTCCAACTCACAAAACAAGCCGAAGAAGGTTGAGTGAATATTAAAAAATGTCACAGGTAACTCCCTTTGCCTTTTTCATTTCCTCTTGCTGGTTTAATTTGTATTATTTTTCCCTTCTGCTAAATAAAAAATTATATAGACGACCACAATGATAGACGAACATGAAGAATAATGTTGATCATAAAGTAGAATCATTATTAGGAGAAAAGATAAATATAGAAACAAGCATCTGAACATTATTTTGGATGAGATGGGTGCATATACCTAAATGTGAGACTTCCTCGTAGATCATTTCCTACATGAAGGAACAACTTTAAAGCATTTATAACTTCTTTAGTCGAATACCATAAATGTGGCACAGGAAAATTAGTGTGGGTCTCCCTGAAGGAGAATCTATGGTTATTTTCCTGTGTAATCATCTTCTGTGGATAGCCTTCATTTGAAATGTGAGGGTCCTTAGAAAATGGGCCAGAATCTGGAAGCTCGACAATGAAGTCCTTATTATGGTCCTGCACCAAAATATGGAGATGAGAGCATAAGGAAATATGTTTAAGTATACACCAATTATGTTGTGCATTACTATCTCTGAAATCTCAGAAGCACTTGAAAAAAGCATTAACATTGTAAAAATTTCAAACTGGATATTCAATTTTATAGTTTCATGAGGCAAACCCTTAACTAACATGCATGAAAGAAAAACAATTTTTAGGTAACCAAATAAATTTTGCATGCTTTCTGATTATAAAATGTTTAATGTGTTTTGTCAAAAAAGTCACATATATTACAGGAATAATAAAGTATGATGTGCCCGCTGGAAATGAGGGAACTCTAGTACAACTACATATAGTAATCACTAAGCTAGCAAATTTTGTGACTATAAAATGATTGCATGAAACAAAAACTTCTGAGGGAAAAAATGAAAAGCGGATTACCGAAAACATTTTGCAGGAAATAACCCTACACTATGTTAAGAGCAGAGAGATCAGGAAGTAAACAAATTTAATGAAAGACCATACCGCTATTCCATCTGTACAGTTGTAAATTGTGTGATACAAAATTTTCCATGCTTCCTTCATATAGTAAATTCCTCGACCATAACGTCTATAAGAGTAGCTTTTCAACCATTCCTACAAGATCAAAGGTGAAATTTGGATCTAAATCTGCTCTTCAAAGCTAAGTTATGGAAACAGTGAAATACTACCCAACTTGCCCAACGAACTACGTCACATATTAAGATAGTTACTTGACATGATAGATATATCGTGTTGAGGCATCATCCTATACCTAATGGTATGGATGTAGCATACAAATCCATAGTGCATTCTTGTTTTTTTCACGTAGCCCCATACTATTAGTCCTTAAATTTGCACAAACTTCATACAGTTAATATGTATACGTCTGTATGTGTGTGTGTGTGTGGGNACAATAGTCAATAAAATATAATTTACTGATGAGTTAAGAGCCAAGAGGATGAAGTATCATATATGTACACGGAATAATCACACCAAAAAGACACTAGAGAGTTACTTATATCACTGTTAATGCTTATATCAACTAGTGCTATAGATCCCATGCACATATGTTATAAAAGAAGCTTCATATCAATCTCACTCAAGTGATGACCCATATCTAGAAAGATTAATGAAGAAGCGTTAATCATAATAAAGTACAAACAACAGCATAAATAAAAATAATGGAGAAGTCATATGTTATAAGTAATAATGAGCAATGGATTGACCAGATTTATTGCACACATGATATTAGCAATGTTTGACCATGTAATTAGAATTAGATTGTAGGACTTGTTGGAGATTGTTAGAATAAATATAAAACTACAGTCCTCAAAAGTTTTGGTGTAATGACTAGAGTACTTAATTTAACATGGTATCAGAACGTACTCAATCCTAACAACTTTTTTCATCTTTCTAGATCTCCAG